TCAAGTGCTTTTTTAGAAACAAAACTGTCACGTTTAACCAGCACCCTGAAGGGGGAGCTTTAGGCTATAATTATGACTAGGTTATGTGCGCGACATAAAATGGCTCAGCATTGCAAGCCATCGAGAGCCCTGGAAAGGGATTTCTGAGGCGTTGATGCGATCAAAAGAGAAGGACACAAATACTATCCCGACAGGCGGGCCAGAAGCGCAACCTGGTTGTCGATGAAGTAAGAATGCAGGCGTACTAAACTTATATAAGACTTTCTGATGCGGAACATTTGGGTGGAAGGCAAAGACATGGAGACCAACGAAGAGATGGATATATGGCATAGATGAAACCTGCGAAATGATTAATAAAATTGTCAATTAAGCCACTTCAAAAGCGCAAACACAAACGCAGAAAACCACCATTCTGGGTTGCAACTGGCAACGCTGTGATAATACTAAAGAAAATATTCAGCAGCCAGTGAAGAGTTCCGATACTTTTGGTGCCAGTAGCATCATGATTAAACGTCCGTCTTGCCTTTCCTCTGAGCCTCGAGCATCTGCCAGAACCTCTCGTCACTCCCCGCTGCATCAATCTCATCAGACTTTGGTGATACATCTGCTCCTCCGAACTGTACACGTCTCTCCCACAAGACAGTCTGCCTTGTCATGCATCAGTATTCCACCAAGTTGTGCAGAGCCAGCCAGTCTGTCCGCCTGTTCATTTCCCAATACACCCCCCCCCCCCAAATAAAAAGGAGAAATAAAAGATGAGCGACGGTCGTGCTGGACTGGGTTCCATCCATGATATTGAACTGAATGCACAGGACAAAACGGAATGAAGGATCAGACTGTAAGCTCTGTATGACAATAACTGGCACAACAGGATAATGAACGAATATGATCGTGTGTACACCCATACTCACTCACTTATATATATGCTCCCATCAGACACGGCCACATATCCGCAAACGCACACTTATGCATACTTACATATCTTGTCAATATACATATGCAAAAAAGTAAAACATTTTAAAAAGTTAGAAAAAAAAGTAAAAGACTCTTTTTTTTTCCGGCCGCCTGTGTCGCATCCGACATTTTATGCTAAACTAAATTTGTATAGATCCACGACTGGTGATGTGGTCAATATCTGGCAGACCGCCTTGACTTCCCAGTATTCTACCTGTTACCCATTTTAGTATGGATCGACCTGAGAGCCACATTCATTAAAAAAAAAAAATAAGCGGCGGGTCGGATTCCAACCAATAACATCTAGCCACAGACAAAGTATCCACAAACAAACAAATGCTTTTTTACTTGATCAACATGGCAGAGCCAACTTATTTTTTTCTTTAAAAATGACCTTGGCCTCCAGATCGACCGAGCCCTAAATGGGTACCAGGTTAAGTCTTCGGATGTAAAGGCGGTCGGTGTGATATTGACCACCACATCAAACACCGAGTAACGATTCCTCTGTAGAATACAGGCATAGCCCTATATGCCCAATACTCCTGAAGACTTGAAAAAAAAGGGTAGTTGTTTCCCTTGACATTTTACTTACTTGATGAACAAATTTCCCAAAGGGCCAAAAGAAATAGCCAGCCATTCGCCAGCAAAACTTGGCTGAAATATAGATACATACATAGGCTGAAACATTGACGTATACATAGACTGGAATATAGACACATACATAGCCTAGAATATAGACAAATACAAGGGCTAAGACATTGACATACACATCTGTAGCTGATTATTTTTCACTTATGTTCAACAAATATCATAACAGACATGTCACTCTAAGCACTTATCACCTAGAACGATTTACCACTTATCTTTTTTCAGCCTTATGTTGGTCTTAATTCAAAACTGTTTACCTTAAAGTATGTTTACCCTATTTATCAGGGTGAGCGAGTGACGTTTGATACCACCAGGACCGCACAACCAGGTAACGTGAAATGTCAGCATTCGGATGACATAAATATACTATGGGTCTACAGACTTCTGTATAAATAAAAATGTAAATGTTCCTTTATTCGGAATCGCAAATCTCTGAAAGTTCTTCACCGAAATTTTCACACACACACAAAAATCAGCTTTAGCACGTGTTAAACAAATAACCTGTTTATTTATTTATTTATTTATTTATTGTTTAATTTTTTTGCAAATATGTTTTTAAATAGTTTTAATAATGCAATTTAAACTAACAAAAATATAACCCTTCAATGTGTTCGTTTTTGAAAAGGTCGGTAGTCGTAGAATTGATTACACACAAAATTTATGTCACTTGTTAACAATTTAGCACTGAACAGTTAATACAGGCACTTTTTTCAGAAAAACTAAAGTTTAAAAGTCGGTTTTCTCACAACTTTACATTTCTGTTTGTTGTGAGTGTGAAATCCTAAAATCTCAGGTAATATAAAGACTAGAAACATCACATTTGGTGTGAATACTCCTTAAAAATATTATAGAAACATGTCTATTTAAAAATAATGTAATTAAAAAAAAAATTTGATTATTGTCATATGATGCTACATTTGTTTTTTACTTTTTCAACAAACCTAAACTTTAAAATTTTACGAAAACTATTAACAAAAACATCTTTAAAGTAAATAAACTACACCTATACCACTACATATGATAAAGTTTATGAATCTATCATCTATTTTTAAATACCGTGTTTGTTTTTGAAATTTTAGGATTCTAAGTACATGTCCCCCCGCCCCTCCCCCAAGATGATTTTTAAAACCTTAAAGTATGCAAATGTATTACCATATATCCCTACAAATGACCATTATAAAATAATTGGTTTAACACTGTAAATAGGAAAAATTGTGTAGTGACCCCTATAAAAACTGGAAACAGTCCATTAGCCCTCCCCCCCCCTTTCCCCACCCCCACTCCCCCTCCGATGACTCTCTGGTCGAAGGAAGGATGAATATTGACTTAAAATTGAAACACACATTTCAAGGAAAGCACAAGAAGAAGAAAAAGAAGAAGAAGAAGAAGAAGAAGAAGAAGAAGAAGAAGAAGAAGAAGAAGAAGAAGAAGAAGAAGAAGAAGAAGAAGAAGAAGAAGAAGAAGAAGAAGAAGAAGAAGAAGAAGAGAAGAAGAAGAAGAAGAAGAAGAAGAAGAAGAAGAAGAAAAGAAAAAAAGAAGAAGAAGAAGAAGAAGAAGAAGAAGAAGAAGAAGAAGAAGAAGAAGAAGAAGAAGAAGAAGAAGAAGAAGAAGAAGAAGAAAGATTAATATTGGCGTGGATTAAAAAAAAACTGGAGTTCTATTACACACACAGACACACTCACAGAGACACATAGACACACGAGCACATATTACACACACATACTCAGACAAACCCTGGCCACTTTGAACCGCCAGGAAATAGGACTGATCTAAAAAATAAGGTTCTGTACATCTAATCCAATATTTTAATGCCTTCTTCAACTTGAGAAGATTAAAATATCTCTGAACGCAACTTCTCTGTGTTTTTAATATCGAACTTATTTTATTAGGAAATAATTAAGTCGACTAAGTTTAATTAGATATGGAAATCTTAATTTGGGAAGACACTGAAATAGGCTATTATATTTCGCACTGTTTTCTTATTGTATAATCTACTCTAATTTATAATGGCTTCATAATCTTTCTAGGTTTTTCCGTGATATTGTTTTCTTTAACGTCAGCAAAAACTAAGTAGACTACTAAGGGCGACCAATAAGCAAGTGTGGGAATGTTTCAAGTACAGTGATGTTAATAAATTAAACATTTATATTTAAAAAAAACATCACTATAGGGGTCGACTAAAAAAAAAATATTTATACAAACTCGCAAAATGACCGGTGTGGGGGGGGGTGGGTGGGGTGGGGTTTTTAGATGGCTTTCAAATTATGTAAAAGGGGAACTAACATGAGGTCGAGTGTCCTCCCACTTTCAAACACACATTTTTTGGGGGAAAGGAGAAGCATCAAAAGTATAGATCCTCAGATTCAAGCCCCCCAGGTTCTGGAGACCCCCAGGTTCAAGTGTCCCTAGGTTCTAGCGCACCCAGGTGACCGACGCCCCAGAGTGACCGACGCCCCAGAGTGACCGACGCCCCAGAGTGACCGACGTCCCAGAGTGACCGACGCCCCAGAGTGACCGATGACGTCCCAGAGTGACCGACGCCCCAGAGTGACCGACGCCCCAGAGTGACTGAAGCCCCAGAGTGACCGACGCCCCAGAGTGACCGACGCCCCAGAGTGACCGACGCCCCAGAGTGACCGACGCCATTGTAAAAGACTCACCATAGGGAAGTCCAACAACAGTCAGAGCCATGAAAGCTGCCACGATGACGTAGACCAAAGATAGCCACCAGCCAATCAGCAGCGTGTACAGGATGTTGCAAGGGTGCCACGTGGATACTAAAAATAGAAAACAAGAGCAGGTAATGTTTCATAATGGGCGGTAAAAAAAAAAAAAAACGGTTTGTTGCGTGTCCTTTACAGACGGGGCGACAAGAAGTCCCGTTTTCTTGGTGTGTCCTGGTTGTCCTTTATAGTAATGTTTTACACGCACACACACATGCGCACGCACACGCACGCACACACACACACGCACACACACACACACACACACACACGTGCACGCACGCACGCATACAGTGGCGTCCGTGGCTTAGGCGTTTGCGAGTCCAACTCGTAATTTCAACGTACCGCGATCGAAACCCACTGCTGGATGCGTGGATTTTTATCATGGTATGGGGCGTCGCAAGTCGACCCAGCCTAAATAAAGAACCAGCATGTATGTCATGGGGAGGTAAAGATGGCCGGCGTAATGCTGACCACATTACCCACCTAGTGCCGATTGGTCTGTAAAAATATGGGTGCTCTTCTCTTATGCCTGATGCGCCTAAAGGTGTTAAAATGGATCTTTACTTTTATATTTTTACAAAGTGAAAATAAACTAAAGTTCAACTGGACAGTATGACACACCTTTTCGTCCGTCCAGACGATATTGTTGTACTATGAGGAGGCATGGGACCCACAGCCCATGGCGATGGCGAGTTTGACTAGCAAGACCCGTGTTAATTATTACACTCATATATAAATTGCCATGCTTGGATCTTCCGTTTTCAATGCAAAATATTTGTTGGACGTCCCGTTTTCATTTCAAGATGTTATGGTCGTTCGATTTTCAGGAAGTTGCAGAACAAACTGCGGCATATTTTGGACTGGTTGTGATTTCAAAAAAGCATTTTTTTTTTTTTTTACTTTCAGTAGTTTCGTCCCTGCACGGCCGGCTCTCGTTACTAATGTCGAAACCAACGCGAGAGGGTTTGCTGCCAATCTCCCGCAGATGGGATCGAACCAGTCACTTAAAAATCATGAGGCGAGTTCACAACGCCCAAACTGCAGACACCCACTTAACAGATATGCTGGGAAATTATGGGTAAATTGTGTGCAGAATTTTTAACAGCCACAAGGTAATGAGACAAACTGAAGACTACCAAATTATGGAAGACATTCAACACCAAATTTGTGAGCAAAGCTAATTCTCATGACGATGGAAGACATTTAACTCCAAAGTCTTGTACAAAGCAAATCCCAACGACAATAAAAGACTTTCAACAATGTCTTGACTGCAATAAATCCCCACGATTATGCAAGACATGCAACAAAATCTTTCACAAAGCAAATTTCTACGACGATTAATGACATTCAACATAGTCTTGACTACAACAAATACCCATGACTGTGGAAGACATGCAACAATGTCTTCTACACAGCAAATCCCCACGACGATAAAAGGCATTCAACAAAGTATGGACTGCAACAAATCCCCACGACGATAACGATGACAGACATTCAACAAAGTCTGGACTAAAACAAATCCCCATGACGATAACGATGACAGACATTCAACAAAGTCTGCACTACAACAAATCCCCACGACGATCAAAGACATTCAACAAAGTCTGCACTACAACAAATCCCCACGACGATAACGATGACAGACATTCAATAGTCTTGTACTTACATTTGGAAATGTTACGTTTAGGATCAAAACCACTGTGCTGCAAGGATGGTAACACAAACAAAACCACTGTGCTGCAAGGATGGTAACACAAACAAAACCACTGTGCTGCAAGGATGGTAACACAAACAAAACCACTGTGCTGCAAGGATGGTAACACAAACAAAACCACTGTGCTGCAAGGATGGTAACACAAACAAAACCACTGTGCTGCAAGGATGGTAACACAAACAAAACCACTGTGCTGCAAGGATGGTAACGCAAACAAAACACTGGAAAGAGACAGTGGAAGCCTGAGTCACCTGATACATTTTCTAACGAGGAACAGCCCTAAGTCTGGTTTGCATGTTTAGTGATGATGATGTTGATGGGGGGGATGGAAAAGGGGGGGGGGGGGGGGGGGTGGATTCCGATGCATGGTTGCCGAAAAAGGGGTCGGTGCTCTTGCCTGATTACAAATTAAGAGCTGACTTATCCCACTTCAGGGTTGCCCCATATTGGCATTTTTTAATGCCATTTTCCACAAATTTGGCATATTTGAAATTGAACTGGCATAAGATAATGAACTGGTAAATTTTGGCATATTTGGGTTTTTCCTGGCAATGCTGACCTACAGTTAACATCTGTATTTCAGTTTGACTTTGTTGTGATGTCCTGGCACGGACTAACGGAGATTTGCGCCATTTCTTATTGTATTTGCTATCTTCCTAAACGGATCGTAACTTCGATAAATCAAAGCCGTCAGTAATTTATGTTAATAATCTACTAGAATAAATGCGGAATTAAAAAAAAAAAAAAAACCACCACTGATATCAAGTGATTCAGACTGTTTAGAAACTACTTGAGGACAGAAAATAGAGAGGATATAGACCTAGTTCTATGTGTGATAGATTTTATTACTTTTACCAAAGGCCACGTCATCCCCCCCCCCCCCCCCCCCTTTTAAAAAAAAGGAAAGCATCTTATGACATTGCAAGTATAATAGTAACTGGAAGAAAACATACCCACGGCTCAAAAGATCTTCAAACGAACCAGAGGCAGCATATTGTCAACTGTGTCAGTGCACTTAAACACTAAGAATTAGTAAAAAAAAAAAAAAAAAAAATACACGGGATGAAAACTCCGTCAAAAAGCCAGTCACAGCTTATTACAACAATGACTCCAAGACAAAGTAATGATAAAGTTAAAGTCAGCAGAGTTGCAACTTGCTGTATGCATGACCTGCCATTGTGCAATACGCACAATTAATCATCTAAGTGAAATCATGAGAGAGCATGGTCTGGGGAGTACATTGGAGCACATACAGTTGCATATAACTACATGTTTATGCCTAAAAAAAATATTATAAGGATGACCTTATTGATGATTTTCGGAACAAGAAATATGCCATAATTATAGATGCGTTGCGAAGACTTAATCAAATTTGAGAAAATGCCTACAGATTTTACATTCAAAAATGTTTACGCTGTATCTTCCACTGGTTCCAGTGAGGATGACAGTGAAGAATTCAGTCCAGAGCTTTTATATGAAGTGAGTGCAATGTTACATTTTATTTAGCATTTTCTGGTATATTTTGAGTAGTGGTTTGGCATAAAATGAAGTTTTTTTTTATCTTGCAACCCTGTCCCCCTTTCCCTAAATAGGGAATTATGCCAGGAAGGGGAAAAGGGAAGGGAGGAAGGAGTCTGCAAATGCCCAAATCCCCAGTTGCTAGGGTCTGGGGGAGCTGTTTGTCTGAAGTATGAAAGGAAAGTCATCATCATCCTCACACACAAAATAAGGACAACAACACGACGTCTATATAACTAATTGCTTTCAAACAGACATAAAATATTTCTCACGACCCACCTTTGGCCTCTTTCATTGTGTTGATATCAGAATACAGATCCTGGACAATTTCTGAACGTGATTCTAGGGGTCGAGCAGTCACATGACTCTTCCATTTCTTCAGACCGAACTGAAAACATAACAGTAATAATGGCTTTATTTCTGACGGTTTGCAGCAGTACGCAATACTGACACCTTCTTTTTATTTATTATTATTTTTTTTTTTAATTTTAGCGCTACTGTAATAGTTGTAAAGATTGATGCTACTAACATGACGGTTTGGAGAAACCATTTAAAGCAAATAATTTGACTACTGGCGTACACCATTTGCAGACTGAGGCAAATAATGTGACGGCTGGGATAAACCATTTGAAGAATGAGACTAATAATGTGACGGCTGGCTTAAACTATTTGAAAAATGAGATTTACAATGTGACAGCTGGGATAAAGCATTTGAAGAATGAGACTAATAATGTGACGGCAGGGATAAACTATTTGAAGAATGAGACTTATAATGTGACGGCTATGATACACCATTTGAAAAATTAGACTTACAATGTGACAGCTGGGATAAACTATTTGAAGAATGAGACTAATAATGTGACGGCTGGGATAAACTATTTGAAGAATGAGACTAATAATGTGACGGCTAGCTTAAACTATTTGAAGAATGAGACATACAATGTGACAGCTGGGATTAACCATTTGAAGAATGAGACTAATAATGTGACGGCTGGGATACATTATACGAGGACTGAGACGAATAACATGACGGCTTGTATACGAGAATCATTGGACCGATTCACTCAGTCATTATCATTATGTCACATAGGGCCCGCAGTCTGTTTCTACATTCTGCTCTATCCTATACAATCAGTTGACATTGTAGGTAGGTAGGTGCCACACGATGACCCAACTAATTAGTTTATAGAACCAAGCACTAACAATTAGAAAAACTAAAAGTTAGGAGAGAATGCCATAAAAGGTCACACTTCTTCTTTTCTTTTTTTTGTCGTCTCACTGATAAGTAAAAAAAAAAGTAAAGATCCCTTTTCACCCCTTTCGGCGCATCGGGCATATGGGCAGAGCGTCCCATATTTTTACAGACCATCAGCACTCTGTGGGTAATTACGCCGGCTGTCTTTACTTTCCCAGGACAGCCCATCCAGGTACCCATTTTAGGCTGGGTCGACCTGCGACGTCCAATACCACGACAAAAATCCACGCAGCCTGCAGTGGGTTTCGATCGCGGTATGCTGGCTTACGAGTCGGACTCGCAACGCCTTAGCCACGGACGCCGCCGTCTCACTGATACCAGGTTGTAACCAGGTGTCGTGGTTTTCTGTGTTTGTCTTGCGCTTCTCGTGTGACTTGAGTGATTTATTTGTTCAATTTTTTGCAGGTTTCATCTATTGTAAAAAGTCTCATATGCAGTCTGGTCCGGCTGCATTCTCGCTAGATGGCCGAACCATTTCGTTCCTTGTCAATATACTCCAGACATGGTCTTATTCCAACTTTCTCTCTCATGCTGGTATTCGTAACCCTGTCTCGCCTAGCTTTGTTAGTGACCTTGAGCAGACAGCACATTTCACGTGTAGTTATTTTCTGTTCTAGTGCCCTATTCACTGTCATTGTTTGGCACTGTAAACATAAAGTAGGGATAAAGATGCTATTAATCATTTGCTGTTTCTCTGGAAGGGATACATTTGGGTGTCTAAGCAGTGGGGCTAACTGGTAGGTGGCAGCATTTGCTTTCTGTACCTTGGCTTCTCTCTCTCTCTCTTTCGAGTCTGCCATCCTCTATAAATATGCTTCCTAGATATTTGAATTATCGTACTTATTTGATTGTAATACCGTTAATTAACATGAACGTTCATGATATTATGTTTCCTGCCTATCCTCATTAACTCAGCATTCGCGGTGTTTATTCTCATCTCCTACTTTGTTCAGGCTTGATGTAAGTAGTCAGAATGGTATTGTAAATTCTGTTCTTGGTGGTGTATTAGACACCGATCGTCTGCAAAAAAAAAGTCCATTGATTTCTGCATTGTCTGTATCTGTCTCCTGTGTTACTGTATCCATGTAAGTTATGAACTGCAATGGTGAGATGACAGATCCCTGTCTGACACCTGATGAGATGGGAAACCAGTCTGTCATTCCTTCTGTTGTTCTTACTGTGCACTAACTATCTTGTTAAAGAGCCATGATGTTATAAAGTCATTATATGTAATAAAATATGTGTGGTTCTTTCGTTAGTACTGGAATAAGACGCAATATTCATTCCGCTAAGGTTTGGGTAATTAATTAATTGTACGCAGCTGCATGCAATCATAACACTGACCCGTTTCTTATCCGATCATGACTAACACATCCATGTTGCTGTCTCAAGGTTTGGCAATTCTGCGACTCGAAGGGTCACACACTGGGTGCCAGTCCACTAGGTCATGTTCCAGATAGCATGGGTCACCTTATAATCAATTATGATGATGCCATACAGTGGCTTAGACCCTACGAATACGCTTTGTCATTTTGATATGCCGGTTCCGATCACAGCTGCGGACTTTTTGGTAGCAGACTATCTTGCGTTAGTTTAGACTGTGGTATCTAGAGCCCACCGCTTGGACGTAATGACAAACTACTGAACGTAGTAAAATCACAAACTGCCAAAATATACTGGGGGGTTGGTCCTGCAAAGTTCTGTAAAGCTTACGCAACTAACTTTAACTTGAAGGCACTATAAAGCTTTGGCGCACTTTATTGTCTAGGGGTTGGGGTATCCCAGCGCATGCTGGTGTGAAAAGTAATGAGAGAGCTGACGCTCTGGATGGACAAGAGACATCGTCAATGCTATACAAGAGAGACTAAACGCTGTGAGGTTTTCAGTTTTCTGGAAAATGATTTTTCACTAAATAGACTGCACACCCAGGGTGTACCAATTGGGGCAGCGAGGCAAGAAAAGCACGCGGGAGCCACCCGTCGTTACATCAACCAGAACAGAATGGGAGTTGTTAGCCTAAAAACAATTGGAGACCTACTGAGGAAGAGATCGGCGATGGCTGTCCTGGGGAAGTAAAGACAGCCGGCGTAATGCTGACCACATTACCCACCTAATGAATGAAGATGGTCTGAAAATTATTGGCGCTCTTCCCATATACACGATACTCCTAATGGTGTGAAAAGGGATCTTTAATTTTACTTTTTTTAATGGTCATATCCGATGTATAATGATTTGTGTTCAGGAATGAACAACGAATAATAGGGTGTTCCGAAAAAGCTCAATTATAAAAAAAAAATGTCTGTCTGTCTGTCTGCCTGCCTGCCTGCCCTGCCTGCCTGCCTGCCTGTCTGTCTGTCTGTCTGATCCCTCTGTCCAGACTGCTACCTGATGCTCTCACCTCCCCTGTGACATTTAGAATCACTACCTCGATGACGATACTTGTAACTTGTTATCCGTAATAACATCCTAACACATGGGTCCGACCCATACTTGCTCCATCCTCCCATGCAGAAGCCATCTCAGTGTCTCCATGCTTAAGGTACCCACTAGGAGCTGACTCGCATATCATCTGTCTTTGCCTGCACAACTGGTTTCTTCACACGTGGCCTCGTTTGATACCCACTTCCAACACACGATGACGTTCCCCAGAACAAAACCAACAAGCCCAGTTCACACTATAAGGAAGTTATAATTTGGGTACCCGAGGCGGCTACTCCAAATAATGCATCATCCATCAGGTCTATGATAAAGAGACGCGGTCGCATCTGGAAAAAAAAGAAAGGGGGCGGGGGGAGCGGGGTTTAGGCAGCCAAATGAAAATACAGCTTTAACTACTGATCTGACACTGCGAAGCTTTTAGGGGCAGCTTTTTGATTTTCTTTGCATCATACTGAGAAACTCTACGCACGGGACTGTCATGCAGTATCCAAATAGTGTTGCTTTTCTAGCAAACCTACAGTTTTGATTTGTCTGACAAAGGTTCGTGTGCCGGTTCCAATGTACCAGTTTGGGTTAAACCAAAAACAGACTCGCCGTCGATTAACAAGTATGTCTGTAAAGACGATAACATAGTTTGCTGAAAACGGATGTGTTCAGCCTAGAGGTGCATATATCGCAGCCTCGCTGCGTAAATCGCCCACAATGGACCACTAGCCCTTTTAAGGACGAATAAGAAAGACAAACCAAATTAGAAGAAAGAGGAAGTGGGGGAAGATGATAATGATGAGGAGGAGGTGGTAGAGAAGGAGGAGGAGGAAAAGAAGAAGAAGAAGAAGAAGAAGAAGAAGAAGAAGAAGAAGAAGAAGAAGAAGAAGAAGAAGAAGAAGAAGAAGAAGAAGAAGAAGAAGAAGAAGAAGAAGAAGAAGAAGAAGAAGAAGAAGAAAAAGAACAAGAAGAACAAGAAGAAGAACATGAAGAAGAACAAGAAGAAGAACAAGAAAAAGAAAAGATGATGAAGAAGGAGGAGGAGGAGTAACATTTCATGCTAACTTGACCTACCCCCTCCACACCACCACCTTCCCACCCCCCCCCACCCCCCTAATTATGAGAGCTAGGAAATGTCTAAGATGGTGAGGTGGAGGTGGAGAGAGAGAAAATCAGCGCCCTCTACGTGAAACCGTGTACATAATATTCTAATGTACTCGTTTCACAGTTAAGGTATATTTTTGTATGTGTGCTGTGGTGCCTTTGTTTGCTGATAAAGTCTAATCTCCAAAACCACTTTTGTTTGTTCACAGTAATTGATTTTGTGAAACTGGGCTAAACTATTTGTTTTCTCTTACTCTTATTCTTCTCTTCCCTTTTTTTTACTGCCCAGTTTTTAATGCTCAGGAACCGAACGATGCGGCCAAGGAACAAACCTACGGCAAATGGCCTGACCACATTACCATTCGCCTCTAATGGCATGCTTTGTAAGAAGCAGTGTTTTCTTTCTTTCTTTCTTTCTTTCTTTCTTTCTTTCTTTCTTTCTTTCTTTCTTTCTTTCTTTCTTTCTTTCTTTCTTTCTTTCTTTCTTTCTTTCTTTCTTTCTTTCTTTCTTTCTTTCTTTCTTTCTTTCTTTCTTTCTTTCTTTCTTTCTTTATTGATTTATTTCATTATTTTTTTTCTTTTTGTGTGTTTGTGTGTGTGTTCCATCTCTCCCCAAAATGGGACCCAAGAGCCCATAGGCTTTGAACCCTTCTCAGATAAATGAAAATAATTTTCGTTAAAAAAATCAACAGATGCATAAAGTAAGTTTTCACACCTTTTAGCCGCATTCAGCGTATGGGAAGAGCAACCATATTTTAAAGAGACGAATCGGCACTAATAATGAGGTCAGCATTACGCCAGCCGTCTCTACTTTCCCAGGACATACATCCTGGTACCCATTTTAGGCTGGGTCGACCTGCGACGCCCCATACCATGATACAAATTCACGCAGCCAACAGTGGGTTTCGATCGCGGGACTTTTGAAGTACCAGTCGGACTCGCAACGTCTATGCCATGGACACCGCAACAGATACATGATCAATCAGCAAGTCCTTTACAGAACGTCGCTCTCTTCACGGTACGCCTGATAGTATACCTTTCTCTAGCCAGCTTTCCAGCCCCATGTGCCTTCAGTGCCAATGCATCCTCAATGTCTTGTATCCATCTTCGCGGTGGTCGACCCCTGCCTCGCCTTCCACAAACTGCACCTTCCATCATTTTCCAAGCCACCATGACGCTTGATGCGGCTAAAATACTTCAAGGATGCTGTTTATGAGCCAGTTCTCCTTGATGTTCAACTCGTTCAGAATGTTGTTGTTTTGCCTCTTCCTGATCCATGGAATTCTAAGAAGTTTTCTATAGCATTTCAATTCAAAAGCTCCAATCTTTTTCCTCAATGACTGAGTGAGAGTCCAAGACTCATACCCGTAAGATGCCACAACAGATACTTAAGGTAAAAAAATAAAAAAAAGTCAACAGATACATAAGCTAGTTAAAACAGACACAGATTCATAAGATAGTGAAAAAGACCAACAGATACATAAAGTAGTTAAAACAGACACAGATTCATAAGATAGTGAAAAAGACCAACAGATACATAAGGTAGTTAAAAAAGAAAATCAGTTTAAAAAAGTGATAAGCCTGGCATAAAATAGTAATAAAATTAGAATCATGCAAGTGATAAGACATTCTTATCTTTCTTACCTTGTAGTTATTCGAGATTCTATTTGCCTCGATGTAATTCTCTGCCAGGAGCACATTGCTCCCTTCCAAATCTACCTCATCATTCTCTAAATGTTCAGACTGTACAAATCCCCGTGCTCGAACTGATGCTATATACTTCTTCTTTCTCCTTGCCAGTTTCTCTGTTGTCACAGCTGCTGTATCACTATAGTAGCTGGCAACAGTTAGATCTTCAGATTCCAGCACACTTGGCATTGTGGCGCTTCTTGGGCGGTAGCTAGAATCAAGTCCTGAGATTTGAAATGCAGGATGAAGCATCCCTTCATGCCTCACCAGCGTTCTTTGTTGCTGTTGCTGGTGGCTGTATCCGTCATCCTCAGCGTTTGCTTCCATCATGTTTTCCTTGCACTTGATTTTGAATTTAAATCTACGGAGAATTCAAAGAGCAATTTGCAATAAGACGAAACATTTGAATCAAGTTCTATGAAGTTTGCATGTGTTTAGCAGACACAGATTATTAGGTAAACATAACAACAACAAAAAATCCAAGGAATGTTTAAGAACTGAACACTGATTTATTGTCAGAGTACAATGTCATGGTTGTTATAGTATAAATGGTCAAATAGTTGTCACAGTAGAAACAATCACATAATTTCTACAATAGGAACATATACTTCAGTGTTAAAGTAGGAACATACAAATAAGTTTCACAGTTCAAACATCCATTTAAAAGTCACAGTAGATACAAACACTTAATTGTCACAACAAAAACAATTTCTACAATAGGAACATATACTTCAGTGTTAAAGTAGGAACATACAAATAAGTTTCACAGTTCAAACATCCATTTAAAAGTCACAGTAGATACAAACACTTAATTGTCACAACAAAAACAACCCCATAATTGTCACACCTTTAATGTCACAGAAGAAACAACCACATAATTGTTAAAGTGTTAACAAACAAATAATTGTCACAGCAGAAACAACTACCCAATCGTCACAGCAGAAACAACCACATAATTGTCACAGCAGAAACAACCACATAATTGTTACAGCAGAAACATCCACATAATTGTCACATCAGAAACAATCACATAATTGTCACAGCAGAAACAACCACATAATTGTCACAGCAGAAACAACCACATATTTGTCACAGCAGAAACAACCACATAATTGTCACATCAGAAACAATCACATAATTGTCACAGCAGAAACAACCACATAATTGTCACAGCAGAAACAGCAACATAATTGTCACAGCAGAAACAACCATATAATTGTCACAGCAGAAACAACAACATAATTATCACAGCAGAAATAACATAATTGCCACAGTAGATACAAACACATAATTGTCACAGCAGAAACAACCACATAATTGTCACAGCAGAAACAACATTATTGCCACAGTAGATACATGCACATAATTGTCACAGCAGAAACAACCATATAATTGCCACAGTAGATAAAAGCACATAATTGTCACAGCAGAAACAACCACATAATTGTCACAGCAGAAACAACCACATAATTATCACAGCAGAAACAACCATATAATTGTCACAGCAGAAACAACCATATAATTGTCACAGCAGAAACAACCACGTAATTATCACAGCAGAAACAACCACATAATCGTTACAGCAGAAACAACCATATAATTGACACAGCAGAAACAAACACATAATTGTCACAGCAGAAACAACCACATAATTGTCACAGCAGAGACAACCACGTCATTGTCACAGCAGAAACAACAACATTATAATCACAGCAGAAACAACATAATTGCCACAGTAGATAAAAGCACATAATTGTCACAGCAGAAACAACCACATAATTGTCACAGCAGAAACAACCACATAATTATCACAGCAGAAACAACCACATAATTGTCACAGCAGAAACAACAACATAATTGTCACAGCAGAAACAACTATATAATTGTCACAGCGGAAGCAACCACATAATTGTCACAGCAAAAACAACCACATAATTGTCACAGCAGAAACAACCACATAATTGTCACAGCAGAAACAACCACATAATTGTCACAGCAAAAACAACCACATAACTGTCACAGCAGAAACAACCACATAATTGTCACAGCAGAAACAACCACATAATTGTCACAGCAGAAACTACCACATAATTGTCACAGCAGAAACAACCACAGGGTTATCAAGGTAAGAACAGTCACACACAAAAGTCACTTAGCTTCCTTGCTTGTTGTACCCCACCAGGACATCACACAAGCGATAAACACCCGGTGACAAAAAGTGCCACCATGCGAATGAGGATCACCCGTGGAGGAGTCCAAGAAACCCCGTTCACCCGTTAGGGCCACATTTATAGCCCCGGCAGTATTCAGGGCCCCCGGCAAAAGTAAGAGTGGGGCTTCAAATAGCGGAAAATTGCATCCCACATGGGGACGACTGGTTTTTAAAATGTCGCATAGGGAACAGTTAACATTTTCGTCACTCGCTCCATACAATATGTCGCCAGTTCAATAATTAGTTATATGACTGGGTATTACAGCATAAATCAACGTTTTACATTCTGACATCTAAACGAGACAGAGCATATATCAGTGTGTCCTAAGTGCAATAATGTCAGTTTCAATTAATAAATCAGTATATTAGAAATCTAGATATGTACTGTCAAATTCTCTTTTATTTGAATTTCATCATTGAAACTGCTGGAAGGTACAATATTCACCACAAAATGTCTAGAAACAAGTGTTGGTACAATATTCACCACAAAATGTCTAAAAACAGGTACCGGTACAGCAATCACCACAAAATGTCTAAAAACAGGTGCCGGTACAATTGTCCCCACAAAATGTCTACAAACAAGTGCCAGTACAATATTTCCCACAACATGTCTAGAAACAAGTGCCGGTACAATATTCACCACAAAATGTCTAAAAACAAGTGCCAGTACAATATTCACAACAAAATGTCTAAAAACGGGTGCCGGTACAATATTCACCACAAAATGTCTAAAAACAAGTGCCAGTACAATTTTCACCACAACATGTCTAGAAACAAGTGCCGGTACAATATTCCCCACAAAATGTCTAAAAACAAGTGCCAGTACAATATTCACAATAAAATGTCTAAAAATTGGTGCCGGTACAATATTCACCAAAAAATGTCTAAAAACAAGTACCAGTACACTATTCACAACTAAATGTCTAAAAACAGGTACTCACCACAAAGTGACTGATACAACACACTGCAAGATGAAAAAAAAAGCGACCCTTAAAAAAGGATGTCTCTCAAAAGGTTCAAGGTGCCGGTACAATATTCACCAAAAGATGGCTAAAATAAAGTGCTAGTACAATATTCAAAACAAAATGTTTAAAAACAGGTGCCGGTACAGTATTCACTACAAAATGTTCACACACAAAAACAGGCGCCAGTACTCACCACAAAGTGACTGATACAACAACACTGCAAGATGAAAAAAAAAAGACCCCAAAAAAAAGGATGTCTCTCAAAAGGTTCAAGTACTGCGTACCATTGCATACCACCAGAATAAAAGCCCTGATAACTCTCCATTCTTTAGTGGGTTATTCAGCGACGGGATTCTTGCATCACACTGCTATGAAGAACAATCCTAAAGGCTGTCTAGAATATCCTCACCAAACAGAGACTATCAAAAACCACAAGTGATACTTAACCCGTATCAAGCTACAGATAGCGAATTCAACCACTTTAGAATTGGCAAATAAGATTCTAGGACATTGATTTAAATAGGAAAGTCGGATACTGTAGTAAAGAAATTGAGATGAAAATTATTATCACATGTATAAGAGAAATGAGGAGTTATAGATCTGATTAAATAATGTGAAACACAGATATTCAGAAAGTGATAAATATTGAGAAAGAAGAAGGATTGCTGTATGAATGGTGAGAAAACAGTTAATTGTACGTCACCACTATGTGTCTAAAATAGTTTCCAATACTCAAAACAAAGTATTTTTAAAGGTGTGATGAAGGTGTTAGTAATCACCACTATGTGTCTAAAATAGTTTCCAATACTCAAAACAAAGTATTTTTAAAGGTGTGATGAAGGTGTTAGTAATCACCACTATGTGTCTAAAATAGTTTCCAATACTCAAAACAAAGTATTTTTAAAGGTGTGATGAAGGTGTTAGTAGTCACCACTACGTGTCTAAAATAGTTTCCTTTACACAGCACAAAGTATCTTTAAAAGGTACTGGTAGTCACCATTTACGTGTCTAAAATAGTTTATATTACTCAGCACAAAGTATCTTTAAAAGGTACTGGTAGTCACCACTACGTGTCTAAAATAGTTTCTATTACTCAGCACAAAGTATCTTAAAGATGTGTTTGTATTCACCCCTACGTGTCTAAAATATTTGCCATTACTAAGCACACAGTATCTTAAAAAGGTGTTGGTATTCAACCCTATGTGTCTAAAATATTTGCTATTACTCAGCACACCGTATCTTAAAGAGGTGTTGGTAGTCACCCCTATGTGTCTAAAATATTTGCCATTACTCAGCACACCGTATCTTAAAGAGGTGTTGGTAGTCACTACTAAGTGTCTAAAATAGTTGCCATTTCGCAGCACAAAGAATCTTAAAAAGGCGTTGGTAGTCACAATAAAGTGTCTTAAATAAGGTTCGTATCCACCGGAAAGTGTCTAAAATAGGTGTCAGTATTCATAATGCATAAAAAAGCTGCTACATACAACCAGGGGAAAACACATGGATTAACATTAAATGCAAATCAATATGAATGATAATATACAATTGTGCCCACCAACAACAAGTAGTGAAATGAAAAATCATCACGTAGCAGGTGCTTTGAAGAACGTCGCTCTCATCACAGTCTGCCTGACAGAAGCTGTACCTCTGGTCAGCTGCCCCTCCTCATGCACTTTTATATTCAAGGAGTCACTTATACCCTGTGCCCATCATCGTGCTGGTCGGCCCCTTCCCCTCTTTCTAGGCCCCATGCCTTCTGCTATATTTTTTTCAAATCCGCCATGGCGCTTGATATGAGCCAAATATTTCAGCTTCTAAGACAAGATGCTATTTATTAGCCAATTTTCACTGATGTTCAGATCTGTTAAAATGCAGTATGTCTTATCTTCTTTGTCCACGGTATTCTGAGAATCTTTCTGTAGCATTTCAGCTCAAAAGCCCCGAAGTCCTTTCTTAAGGCCTGGGAGATCGTCCACAAAATGGAAAGACAAAGATTTAATGGCGATTTAGAAAATGCGATCTCTGAAATCAGGTCACATGGTGTCAAAATAATGGAAGAGGGAAAAAAAAAAACAGCTAATAAAAATTGGCAAGTATACATTTTGCTTAGTTTAGGAACAAGACAAGGAAGAAGAGAAAATTTATTTTCAAAA